ATGTTTTATGTAACTGTTGGATGGTGTTCCATACATTTTTGGTAATGGTGTTGCTGAGTTCTTCTGTATTCTTACTGCTTTTGTACTCTTTTTTTACCCATCATTTACTGAGAGGGGAAAGGTAAAACTCCTACTCTGGTTGTGGATTTGTTAAATTTCATCACATACATCTATTTGTTCACTGTTTTTACATATTCTGTAGCTGTGTTATTAGACACATATGAATTTCTTGTCAAATTGAACCTCTTGTTATTCTGAGGTATTTTCCTCTGCTTCAATAATACTTTTACCTTGTTATTTTCTTTGTCTGAAATAATATAGTTACACATTATGTTGGTATTTATTCTCTGAATATTGGTAGCAAAACATTTCTTCTTACACCTTTGCAAAATGTATTAATTTCACTCAATATATATTTTACTTAAACAAACATCATTCTCAGGTAATTTATTTCTATTGTCACACAGATTCTTTATTTAAACGTGTTACTGCTTTTAACGGTGGTGAGGTTTTTTGACTTGTTTGAATGTTTTTACGAACATCAAGAGCATTTTGTCATGTCTATATTAGGGTTTAGAAGACAAACCAGAATAGAAAAGTGTAGGCTATGAAAAGTCTCTAAAGATAATCATAAGCTTACTCATTGGCTCATCCAAGTTTTATCTGGGCCTAAGGGCATTTGCTGTTTTTATTTACATCCTGCTATAAGTCTCAAAGAATAATGTAGGCCTTCTCAATAATATATATTTTCTTAAATTCATAAGGGCGCTATTGATCCCCATATTAAGTACATTAGTTTTCTCCTTTTTTCTAGTAGTAAAAGGAGGTAGAGATTTGTAAGTCAGTATTCAAGATACTCAAGTTTTTCAAAGTATTGTTTGGCAGTTGAAAATATATCTGTTAGTGGGTATTGTAAATATGTCTTATGGACAGAAAAGTTAATTTTTAGTTATTTAGCTTATTTTTATTTTTAAAAATATTCCCTTCCCCTTTTTTTAACTTACTTTGAAATATATACTCATTTTCCTTTTTATAATTGAGTATAGTTGATACACAATCTTATATTGGTTTCAGCTTTACAGCACAGTGGTTCCAGTTACCCATATTCTTAAATCCTCACCCCAATTAGTGCAGTTACTTATCTGTCAACATGGGAAGATGCTACAGAACCACTGGCTCTATTCTCCATGCTGTACTACCAATCACTGTGACCAACTGATATGATTGAGAAACTTTGTGCCCATCCCCACCCACTCAACCTAGCGCCTTCCCCATGGTAACCAACAGTCACTTCTCAATGTCTATGAGTCTACTGCTATGTTGTTCATTTTGCTTTGTTTTGTTCTTAGATTCTACAAGTACATGAACTCATATGGTATTTGTCTTTCTCTGCCTGGCTTATTTCACTTAGCATAACACCTGCTAGGTCCATCCACGTTGTTGCAAATGGCAAGATTTCATTCTGTTTGTATGGCTGAATAATATTCTGTTGTGTATATCTACCATCTATTCTTTATTCATTCATCTGCTGATGGGCACTTTGGTGGCTTCCATATCTTGGCTATTGTAAATAATGTGACAGTAAACATAGGGGTGCATATATCTTTTTGAATCAGGGATTTTGTATTTTGGGGCATATTCCTAGAAATGGAATTACTGGGTTGCATGGTATTTCTATTTTTAGTTTTTTCAGGAACCTCCATTCTGCCTTCCACATTGGCTGCACCAGTTGACATTCCCACCAACAGCGTAGTGGGGATCCTTGCTGACACTTGCCATTTCTTGTCTTTTGGATTGTGGCCATTCTGAGTGGTGTGAGGTGGTATCTCATTGTGGTTTTGATTTACATCTCCCTGATCATTGGCAGTGTGGAACGTCTTTTCATGTGCCTGTTGGCCATCTGTATTTCTTTGGAAAAATGTCTGTTAAGATCCTCCTTCCATTTTTTAGTTGGGTTATGTGTGTTTTTTGTGTTGAGTTGTATGAGTTCTTTATATAGATGTTAACCTCTTATTGGAAGAATAGTTTACAAATAAATTTTCCCATATTGTAGGTTGTCTTTTTGTTCTGTTAATGGTGTCCTTTGCTGTACAGAGCTTTTTAGTTTGATATAGTTCCACTTGTTCATTTTTTTATTTTGTTTCCCTTGCCCAAGGAGATCTGTGCAGGAAAAAAGCTGCTCATGCTTATGTTCAGGAAATTTTTACCTGTGTGTCCTTCTAAGAGTTTTATGGTTTCATGTCTTACAGTTCATCTTCTTATTGCTTCTTTCTGAAAACATGTTTGGTATCCACACTATAGAAGTGTTTAGTTACAAGCAAATATTAGTTACAAGTTAGCATTTATATAAAGGTTATGTTATTGTTCACCAAAGTTAAGGACAAAACAGTTGTCTGGTACTAAATGAATTAGAGTTTCAGTTTTAACACATATAGTTGCATATACAAACAATTGCCTTAATCAGTGACTAATTGATGCCTTACTGTTGGAATTTAAAATGTGTGATTGTGATATTATAGCAAGTACCCTGTCATCATAAAATGGTTTGTTATTTGACAATAATTATATAATTTGGAAAAATAATGTCTTGAAAGATAAAATCATTTTAGGAAATGTCCCATCTTAAAACTGGAAATTGTTCTCTCAAAGTATTAGTTATTTTATGCATAGCATGTATAAATTATGATACATATTAAAACCCTCCCAAATGATGGTGGTATTATAAATCTATGTTAAGGAATAATGGGCACATGAATGAGAAGGAACAGTATTTAAAAAGTGAAATATATATAATAATGCTATGTAATTTATATACCTAAGAAATTTCTTGTTTAGGGAAAGGTACTCTTGTTTAGGAAGAAGTGGGCACACTAATAGAATATTGGTAAGCTTCCTGAAATGCATATGCACAGTAATCAGAGGCATATTGATTTTTAAATGTCAGCCGGCTTTATTCTCTAATTTCTTTAGCATCTATTTCTGTGAACAGTGACTATTCTAAAAGGGGTTTGTCAGGGTTTTTGTGAACATGTTCTATAGGAACTAAATTACTACTGCTATATATAACTAACATTAAATTTGTAATACTAGCAATAATCTGTGAGAGATTTGAAGTTTTGTTGTTTGGATTAATTTCTTATTTGTCAATGATGACTAATAAGTTCTCTATTTCATAGTTGAGATTTAGGGATATTTCCTATGCTTTCTACCTGTATCCAGGTAACAACTGCCTTTAGTCATGTTTATAACCTTCAACAGATGCTAAAATGAATTACTACAACTATCACTGATATTCCAAACTTAAGAACCTCTTTGCTATATTGTTTTAATTCAGGATTGTGTTCATTAGCTATTGAAATTCTTTTAGTGGTTTTTAGTCCTTTACAGACCTTTAAAGAATGTCAGGGAGCAGAGGATATTCCTAGGAGACTGAATATCTACTTTATTTAATAAAATCTACGATGTTTTGAGAGTATGTTTTCTTAGTTTTACTAGACTCTTACCTCACAGTTGACAGTGATTATGAGAAACAGTAGAGTATTAGAAGCATTTTAATTTCAGAGAAGTTCAGATATGAAGGAATACGTATCCTCAAATTTTTGAAGTCACTAACTAAATGTGAAAGGATGGTTATGATACTCTTGTGTTCTAGTTTTTATGATTAGACCAATATGGTATACTGAGAATTTTCCCTTTGTGTGTGTTTTAGTTAGCAATTTTTTCTTCACTGTAAATATTCAGATTCCACAATAGAATTAACAGCTATCCTAGAGATCATATTTTGCCTGCCATAAAAGTCTATTAACTTTCACTATCTAGACTCTGAGGAGATGTATCTTGGCCTAATTGCTTTATACATGGGTACAGGCAAATAATCTTGTTTTTGGTATTCTTTATATACAATAATGTTAACTTTGGACCTGCATTGATTTACTCACAGTGTCCATTAGGAAAAGATATGCCGCAAAAGAAAAATGAGAAAAACACAGAAACATTTCCTTTAATTTTGTTCTTCGCATATCCCATACCACTACATTCTCCACAAACACAGTTCTAATGATGGCATTTCTCATTCACAATGTTTCAATACAGTAAAAAATGCTGGGCCTCTTTGAAGTGAAAATAGGGATGGATGATGCAGGGAAGGTAACTCTTATTTTTTTCCCACCATCTGTATGCACTGATTTTAATTTCATGTGCATTTATTGTTTTTATAAGAAGTAAGTATATCTTTAAGATATCCTCCATATTGCTTATAAAATAAAGATACAACATTTGGCATTCTTCATGGTCCATATCCACCTTTGTTGGGTTTTCCTCTCCAGCTAAACTATCCCTTACTCCAGCCATACTTGTCTGCTCTTTGTCTCAAATCTTCTGCATTCTCAGGACTTTGTTTAAACTTCTCCCTTTGCCTTATCCACCCTTTAAGGCTAAGTCCAAATCCCACCTATTTGTATTTTCTAGCTCCCTAGCAAGTACTGCTTATTCCTCTATATTGCAATGGTGAACACCTCTATATACAGCACTTATCAGAGGCCACCTTTTGTTAGGGTTAGTTATTTATGTGTCTAGTTTTCCCCTTATGTTTTGGGACTGAATTGTTTAGTTTTGTATTAACTCCTAGGGTACATAGGATGGACATACAAAGAATGTTTCTTGAATTGAATCTTCATAGATTTTTAAAATACACACATTACTTCCTTTAATTTTATCCTAGAGAAACACTGTTTAGTAGTTTTGCAAGAATTACTGATTTTTTAGAGTATTCTACATATAAGTGTTCATTCTCAACATTTACCTGTTATTTTGTGAAGTATAGGAATTACTTGCTGGTTACTCTCCCATAGTGCAAAAGATGAATGATTGCAAATATTGAATTCAAGCTATTGAATCTGTAATAGATTTTTCACAGTCTATCTGTTATACAGATTTTGATGATTCTGCAACCTTACATTTAAGGAAGAGTATTTTTAAAATGCTTTTTTATTCCTTTTTAGGTTACTTCCTCAGAATGTTGGCCTTCTCTATGTTGGAGGTTATGAAAGACCCTTTGCACAGATCAAGGTATGATTGTTCAGTTTTCAGTATACTTTTCCTAGATATAGTTTACTTGTCCAGACTCCACCAAAAGCCTGCAAATAACCACCAACAAATCAAAAATATTATGGATGTGAACTATTAATTCCGTTTTCTTTTGCATACCTCTGCTGAGGAAATAATTCAGTTTTTCAAAGAATTATTTTAATATCCTTGCCCCTAGTAGAATTGAATTCGACCAAAGCACTTTAGTGATTACTTAAGAAGAGTACAATTTAGAGCCACAGAATAATCTTTCAAATTATACCTTTGCCACTAAAAAAATTCTGACAACTTTGTTGAGGTATAGTTAATATACAATAAACTGTACATATTTTAAGTATACCATTTGATGAATTTTGGCATGCTTCCACTTGTGAAACCAGCACCATAATCAAGATGAGAACGTATCTATCACCTGCAAAAAGTTTCCTTGTGCTCCTTTAAAATTCCCCACTCCTGCCCTTCCTTTTTCAGGTGACTCCTAATGTAGTTCATGTCCTTATATATTAATTTGCATTTTCTAGAATGTTATGTAAATGGAATCATACAGAATTTTTTCCCCTCCCTCTCTCCCTTTCTTCTCCATCATCCTCTCCTGTTTCTCTTTCTCTGTCTCTTTTACTCAGCATAATTATTTTGAGATTCATCCATGTTGAATCACTTATCAGTAGCTCATTCTTTCTTACTGCCGAGTATTTCACATATGTTTATAGCACAATTTCTTTATCTGTTCACCTGTTTATTGACATTTGGTTGTCTGTGCTTTCTGCTATTACAAATAAAGCTGCTATGAACATTTGTGTACAAGTCTGAATAAATAAATACTTTGATTTCTCTTGGGTAATACCTAAATGGGAATGGCTAGGTTAAATGGTAGTTTATTCAACTTTTTAACAACTGCCAAACTATTTTCCCACCAGCAGGACTTGATTGTGCCAGTTCTTCTACATCCTCATAAACATTTGGTATGGTCAGTCTTTTTAAGTTTAGCCATTCTTATAGGTATGTAGTGGTATTTCATTGTAGTTTTAATTTGCATTTCTGTAGTGACTAATAATGTTGAGCATCTTCTCTTCTGCATATTTGCCATCTGTACATCTCTAGTGAAGTGTATGTTTAAAACTTGCCTTTTTAAAATTTGGTTATTTCCTTCCTGTTGAGTTTTGAGCATTTTTATATCTTCTGGTTATAAGTCCTTTATCAGGTATGTGATTTGTAGATATTTTCTCCCAGTTATGGCTTGTTTTTTCATTCTCCTAACAAGGTCCTCAAAGAGTAGAAGTTCTTAATATTGTTGAAGTTCAGTTTATTAGTTTTTTTCATGGCTTATGCTCTTGGTGTTGATCTAAGGAATATTTGCCCAACTCAAAGTCACAAAGATTATTCTCCTATGTATTCTTCTAGAATCTTTATCGTTTTAAGTTCTACATTTAGCCTTACTATCCATTTGAATTAATTTTTGTATGTGATTTAAGGTTCAAGGTGTAGAGGAATGTTGTCTATTCCCTCTTTCCCCTGCCCCCTACCTCTCTTTTTTAGCAAATGGATATTCAGGGTTTTTTTCTAAAACCATTTGTTAAAAGAGTGTCCTTTCCACCGTTGGATCACCTTTGCATTTTCATTGAAAATCAGTTGACCATGTATCTGTGAATATATTTCTGGACTTCTTTATTCTGTTCTGTTAACCTGTGTGTCTATCCCTCTACCAATACCACACTATCTTGATTTTTATGGTTTCATAGTAAGTTATGAAGTCAGGCAGTATCAGTCTCCAAATTTGTTATTTTTCATAGTTGTTTGGCTGATTAGGCTCCTTGAATTCCTTATGAATTTAGAATCATCTTGCTAATTTCTGTAGAAACACCTGCTGGAATTTTGATTTGGATCATGTTGAATCTATACATCAGTATTAGGAGAAACGACAACTTAACAATATTGTATCTTCCAATTTATGAAGATCACACATTTTTCCATTTATTTCATTCTTTAATGTCTCAGTAGTATTTTGTTCAGTGTATTGGTCTTGCACATTAAAAAGTAAGTTGTTTACTCAAAAATATTTTATATTAGTGATGCTATTATGAAAGTATTTTTATTTCAGTTTCTAATTGTTCATTGCTAGTGTATAAAAAGGTGATGGAATTTTTTATGTGTTTACTTTAAATCCTGAAATTTTACTTTGTTCAATGATTAGTTCTAGTAGTTTTTTCATAGATTTCGTAGGATTTTCCACATAAATGACTATGTCATCTACTAATAAAGATAGTTTTCCTTCTTCCTTTCTGATCTGGGTGGCTTTTAGTGCTTTTTCTTACTTTACTACACAGGCTAAACCCTCCAGTACAGAGCTGATAGAAATGGTAAGAACAGATACACTTGCTTTGTTCCTGATCTTAGAGAGAAAGTACTCAATTTTTCATCAAAAATTATTTTTATAGTAATATTAATTGAGTCATAGATTTCCTATAGGTTTTCTTCTAAGAAATTGAATAATATTATGAACATTCAAGATGGTTAATAAAAAGGAAGGTTTGAGATCATCCTTTTTCTTTGTCATTATAACTTTTTGTTAATGTTTTCTGACAGACCTCTACAATTTGTTTTTGTGTTTTGTTTTGTTTAGCTTTCTGATTTTTCTTCACATTTTGTTCTTGGCTCCATGAGTTATTTTATCCCGTTCATTTGTGGAGTATGAGTTTAAGTTCCTTTCCACCTGCATATATGACATATATTTTTATGCTTTGAAAAACAAGGATTTTTCAGAATAGATTGAGCCTAATAGGACATACAAGATATGTAATACTGAGAAGATTTTGGCATTTTTTTAATGAATAATCTTATCTGGGCTGTCATAACATCAGCATTTCTTTAAATACCTCCATTAACTTAAAATACTCAGAAGTCTATCACCAGTATCTTAAATTGTGGATCCTCTTGAACCTTTCTGATTCATTATGACAAACATTCAGGAACATATTTTTTCTTCTATTTTTAATATTGTTGGACCAAATGTGGAATTGGCAAGAGTCCCTTCATGCACTTCCATCACTGTCCTACTCACTGAATTCAGCAGTATAACCAGAAACCCTAATAAGTTTGTGCAGGAACATTTCTGAAAGCCCATTTTTTTCCATCCATTGGTTCAGAAAATCCTGTTACTCCTTATTAGAACTGAAATAACTAAAATGTGAGAGGCTTCTCTGATATATTTTGGGAAGGGTAGAATTTGTGTGTATATGTGTGCATGTGTGTGCACATTGCATGTGTGCATGTGTTGTTTCATGTTTCAAAAGCACAGCCTGTATATGTATGAGGGTAATTCCGTAATTCCTCCATCACCCACTCACCTGATCCATTAACATAACATCTTCTTTATCCAGGGCTTTCCTAACAAGCCCAGTGACAGAGGTCAATCCTTTGTCAACCATTTGTGCCTGGATAATCAACTCAATAGAGAAAGGTCCATTATTTTAGGGCATCTTTTTCCTTTGATGTTGCTGTGGGAAAGATTTCTCTCATACACTGTGAAAGGATTTTTTATGCTTGTTAATAGTTGAAGTTCTTCCATAATTCCTGTGGTTCTTATAAAAATGCTATATAGATCCATACCTAATTAGAATACATATTAGTTAATTGGAAAACAATTTAAAAATCATATTTTAAATGCTTGAGATTAGGCTAGGAATTTTTAAAGTTCATTTCTTCCCTTGCCTTACAGCTGACATCTTTTGGACATATTTTACCAGTATTTGTCATATTCATTTTTCTGCCTTTAAACCAAATGTAATGATACTATGTTGTATGGCATAGATACCAGATATAACTTGTAATAAATGGAAACTGCTTTGCTTTTAACTTTTTGGTTGCTGAAATTTTTTTTATAAATCAAAATAGGAAGTTATTCCCTTGAATATTTTGGAAAAGAAATTCTCACTAACATGACAGGACTACATATGAGTGGCTTGGTGTTAGAGGCTCTTTTGTTAAAGAGACATTTTATAATTATATTTCTAAAAAGGAGCTCTATTTTATAAAGATCAGAAAGAGAAAGATAAAAAACACTAAAAAGGAAATAAATATTTGGACAAATGTTAAATGAATTCAGAAATTTGCTAGAGCATGGCAGTAGATATCTGTACTATTAATATATAACATAAGTCATTACAACGATTCTCATACACACACTCTCTCTCTCCCATTATTACTTATCTTTTAGTTTTAGTTTTCTACCCAAGCCCTAAGGACACAAATATGTATAAACTTAGGGCTTAATTTTAGTCTTAGACCAGTACATCTGCATGGTAGTGTTAGGTTTCCTTATTTTTAGGGGAAGTTATTCCAATATACCTTTTGTTTCTTAGTATCTTCTGAAGTCATCAGAATGATCTTTTCCCAATAAGCTCAGACTTTTTATGCATCACTTTCAACCAAGGCAGCGACTCTGGTTTCAGATCATTGATCCCTTTCAGAATCCTGTGGAAGCTTATGGATCCTCTCCCTAGAAAAAATTACACACACATATGCTTTTATTTATAATTTCAGAGAGTTCATGGATCCCATTGAAGTGCATTTAAGGACCCCAAATTAAGATGCTTACCAAGTGAATAAAATATGTTTTCCCAATTTTTTCTGTTAACTGAAAAGGTATAGAAAGTATTTTGGGGAAATTTGTCATCTGAAGAACTTGATTTTAAACATGCCTGATTATTATCTTGTTTATCCTAAAATATAATAAACTAAATACTGATCATTGTATAATGAGTTATAAATCAGAGAGAAGTCACCTACATATCTACAGTGATTGTTTCATGCTACAAGTGAAGCAGATTTCACCGTCATTGATGACTAACCTCTTTCAACTTTATTAAGTTTCTAAATTACTAGACTGTGCATGACTTAGGGTTTTCCTAAAGAGATGTGGTTCATTATACCTTTATATTCACTCTTTGAAATTACAAAGGGAAGTTTTGATTAAAATAAAAATT